ACTTCACCTCATGTTGGTAATGTAGTGAATAGAATGCAAAAGCCTCAGGGTGGTGTAATATCAAGTTTATTTTAGCTTCTATATTTTCTGAATGCACTTCGTTGAACTTGTCCACAAAGTTATTTGAACATGAAAATTTATTTTTAGAACATTTTTCAGCTTTCTGACACGGACAGTTGCAATTTACGGAGAAATACAAATGTTATAAGATTCACTTTAGTTTTGATAAGCAAACTCTGATTTTGAAGTGATTAAAAAAATTTCACCTAGATACTTTATTTCGCTTATAGACAGTTTAACAGTCGAAAAGTAATTGAATCTAGAATGGAAAAACTAACATCTTAGTTGAATTTAGAGTGGTGGAAGCAAAAATTTTAATGGGATATTACATCTTGTTGATAAACATCGTACATCTTAAAGTCTCCATTTACTGTCTTTCTGGGTATAGAAATATTAGAAGGAACAAAATAGAAGAAGGAATAGCCAGAAAATGATCTGAAATGGTTACAAATGTGGTCTACACCTTGCCACAAACTCCGAGCTACGTACTTTTTACGAAGATTGTGCACTAATGCTGAAGACTTATAGTCCAGATAGAAATAAATTCAAAATCTTGTAGGTCCCCAGCCAAACACCAGTTCTTATTTATACTGAAGTTTTAATGGAACTCTATACCACTGCATTGCTATTTCAATGGTGGCGTATTCTGACAAGTAGAGCACGTAAGAGTTGTCATAATGAAGAAAAGATAAAATATATGAATCTCTATGTCTTTGCCTACGACTTCATATATATAACATTGATATAGTTTCTTCACTAGCGTGTCAAAGATAACACAAAGTGACTTACTGAATCTTCTTAGCTTTATCTGAAAAACAAAATGATTTAACCATTATGGTATATATGGAGATAACAACGATTCGTGTAAGATATTATCCAGCATTATATTATATAGAAATCCTCTTTATACGATTTATAATATTCATATATGTTATAACATCTGATCAACAATGGTAATGCACTTGGCCACAGAAGAAACAAAATATTAAGTGATACCAACTAGAGGATGAAGATCTTCAAGAACTTCTTCCGAAGGAGCTGCTTCGATTTCTCGAGATACTGAATGTCTAAATGCAGAGGGGTGCACAATAGATCAAGTTAGTCTCAGTGCATAAAGGCCTTAGTGTAATCCATAAACCATTACATTATATTACATAATATTAATATCTATAAACTATCCACTTAACTATATATTAATGTCCCAAGCTACATTTGTTAAATTAGGTTACATTAAAGGGTGCATCTGTATGTCAGAGTCCACATAGACTACCTATCAGTTCATTACGTTATACCTCCTACTATAGCATTCTATTACAGCATCCTGATATAGCCTATTAATAATATGTCACATTTTGTAATGATTTAATTATTCCTATATGAAAAGCGTTTGTGTAATGCATATATTTCTCATTCAAGATCTACCTACATTGAATCACATTAAAATAACTTATATTATTGTATGTATTATAGTTTAAATTTTAAATTTTGCAGCATAAAACAATTAAAATTGTCAATTGAGGTTTAATTAAAATTAATTAATTATGTGAAAAATTTATAAAAGTTTTTCTCATGAAAATGATTTTCTTGTGCTCAACAATTTTATTTGGTTAATGAGGCAAGTGCAGTATAAATTACATTGTATTTTCTACCATTGGTTAAACTAATTTTTATTCATTTAATATATATATTTAGTATATTTTTATGCATTTTTTTTATAAAATAATAGTAGCATATAATATACTATACACATACTTATTCATTCATCGTGCGTAATAGCGTAAAATATGAATACGAAGTACTTAGTATCTGAAAAAAGATCTTAATTACAAACGTTGTTCACATTAAAATGAGTTAATTGTTTAAATGAAAAATAAACTCTTCTTTCATTTGGTTGCGAATCATATTTTAACGAAAATTTACTTACACTTGTAAAAGTTGAAAATGTAAATCCGGGAAGCGGTTTTGCATAGAAAACTAATGGTTTCTGTGCTCGTTGTATTAAAAACATTAAATCGCGCTGCAGCTCTAACGATTCATTATACCAGTGATGAAGTCCAAAAGCTGCAGTAGACACTTTAACTGACTTTAAAATTAAAAAACAATTTGTATATTATAATTTAGAAAAATTCTTAAGATACATAATTATTAAGTACTTACATCAAAATACATTCTATTGCCACAAAAACACCAATAGAATAGCTGTAAGAAACCACTTAGCATATATATATAAAACTTAATTGCCACCATTAGCTCATCTTTAACCAGCAAGGACTCAAAGGCAGTTAGACAAATAATGATGGTGCTAGCACCCATTTGTGCAATATAATTGGAATAGAAGCATTTGTTTATTCTATCAACAAGGCTATGAAACATTATCATAATGAAAAGATACGTATTCGTACAAATAGCTCCTACTCACCCAATTATTAACTGATGAAAATGAACGATCTCTCTTAGTTGGGAACGCATGTTTACATGATTAACAACCTGATCATCCTTGCCCAAACTGCGAATGCATTCGCACAGTGTTTTCAAGCTCACCGACGTTTGTGTAAAATACTGGGTGGGAATGCTATCTATAAGCACAATTACAAAGAGCACATAAATTGTGCAGAAAAATTGAAAGAAGTAAATGCAGGTAACGGCGTATGGATGGCGCTGTGGATCGTGTAAGCTAAACAGAAATTTTGCACGAAATATTAGCGTTTCACTGGTAAATAATGGTTGAACGCTTATGGCCATAAAAAACCAAATAATCAGTATGCAGAAATTGGTGAACACACTAGCGTCAAGTAAGAATGCAAAACGTTGATAAGTAAGGATTTTAGGATTTTTCTTTTCCATTCCAAAGCTAAATTTTGTATGTATAATATTAAAAGCATTTGTAATTGAATCCATTTCATCAGCACGTGATCGGAACAACCATATTTTGAAATATATTAAGAAGAGCTAATAAAATTTAACAATAACTAGTGTTTATCGTTTAGATTAATCGGAAGAATTGCGTTAAGATACTTACGCCAGTTAACACTACTAAACCATCTCCAAAGAGCACAATATCATTGCTGACTTCATACAGATCACATGCAATTGTTAGTGTGAATATCGCTAGTAAGATCATAATAATGTAGTTAATAATGCGATATTTTAAAGATTGTACTGTTGAAGCCGAAAGCCAAAGGCAAATGAATCTACAAAGAAAATATTTTAATATATTTGGTTGACATATGCATTACACGTCTAGCGTCTGATCGCTGTTATACTTTAAATAATTTCGAGGAAATACTAAAAAGATGTGTTCAGGATGTCTGCCTTGCTTTAACACTTTCCAAGTAGCCAAAAATGGAGCATATAGAACTTCAAATCCGACATATTCGTAACCAATGCGCTTATTAAAAGTATTAAATGATTTATTCATATTTTTAATTTTTAATCTATAAATATTTCGTAGTTAAATCAAGTACGTAACTGAAGGAGTGCCTTAAAATTCCATTGATTTATAGTCTCTTAAGCTATAAAAATAGTCTAGAATAAAAAAAATGGCAAGCACGCGTAAATACTACACACATAAATTAACATTAAATATTTAATTTAAAATTTGTACTAGATTGCAAAAGCTAAATTACTTTACTGTTTCATAAGAAGACTATTATTTGCAAATAATTACTTAATTTAGTAAATTGATACTTTCTCAGTTAAAATATTTTCTTAACAATTATTGAAAGTATATAAACAATTATTTATATTTTTGTAAACACTTAATAATTGTACGAACGATAAAAACAATTAAATATTTAATGTCCTTTTGAATAGTAAAAAATGCGATGTATAAATCGCCATGTTTGATACATTTCACAATAACTGAAGGAAAATGCAACCCTCTTAAATGTTTACATTTAATTAAAGTATACATGTGATTATCCAAAACGTACTATTTATCTGAAATAAGTTTTTTTTTATGAGGCATTAACATCCAATAACGTGTACCTAAAAATATAATGTAAAATCAGATACAACTGATTCCAAAGCTAGTTAATTACTTAAAGTTATAATTGAAATATGTTTAAAAGTTTAAAAAATCTCTTAGAAATCTTAGAATCTCTTAGAAATCTTAGAATCTCTTAGAACTCAAACATCAGTAATTTGTATAATGTCTAGTATCTATTTAGAAACTAAAAGATAGCCTACGTTTCCTTGCTGATACTGTTATATAAGGTTGTTTGAAGAGTAATTTGGTTTATTTTTATGAAAATTAAATACTATTGAAGAAATATTTTGTTGAATTAATATATAACATGTCTACCTTGGACACATATCTTTTGTCATCTTTCTGGCACTACCATAATTCCACTTTCATAAAATGTCTGATCCTTGATGTCAAAAAACTGAATCACGTGTTTTTTGACCTCCTTATTAAAAGACCGAAATAAATTATAACCAAAATATGTTAGAACTGAGAAATAGGGTGGATT